GTCAACCATCGTGTCAACCTCTATTGTCGTTTGGCTTAATTCAATCTGAATTGCGTGGGAGGGGACGCGTTGAATGTGTTTTCAGTTGCAGCCAATATAGGACAAGAATATTGCAGACATCTTCATCGCCCCATTATCTTGCTTTAAATAAGCATCCATACAGTTTAATTTTAGGCAGTAGCCTAAAGTTTCGGATTTCTGCTGCAAAATGTTAACCGTTTTTGAGAAATCCATCGGTAAACCTCCGCAAGAACTGTCACTTCCGCTTGCAGGGAGCTCCGGCTTAAAAAATACTCGCCAAGAAATCGCAGAAATATTCCGTTCATGGAGGTCAGATTCAACATTTTACAACTTTCGAAACGGGAACTTCTTGGCTTTGTCTCGTGAAGATCAAAATCCAGTGCATCCAAGGCAATGGCTTACATTAATCTAAAATATATATATACTGATGAATGTTTTATGGTTTTATTGATTTTGTGATCATCAGGTCTATTGTGGTTATGGATGATATTTTCTGCATTTTCTCCGGGGCTTTGGATAATACTTGTGATCTCCGACGATATTACGGCCTTTCGAGACAGGCAACGGAAGCCATGATAATCATAGAGGCTTATAAAGTGTTAAGAGATCGAGCACCCTATCCTCCTGATCAAGTTATCAAAGAACTTGAAGGGAAATTTGCTTTCATTTTATTTGATTCAAAAGCTTCAGTCCTCCTCCTAGCCAGGGTGAGTTGAGATTCACCGTTGTACCACCTCTTCTAAACTTCAACATGCAATCACTTGCTTACTCTGATACACACCATCTGATCAAACAGCTGATGTTTTTAGAAAGAGGGGACACTAATAATTTGTTGTTTTCTATGGCGTTGTGAAATCATTCCAAGAAAACTTCACATATTTTCTTGTAATTAGTGATGAAAGTTTGTAACTTTTCATACTTTGGCAGGACCGTGATGGTAGTGTACAACTCCACTGGGGGACTGCAGCAGATGGATCCTTAGTTTGCTCTGATGATCCCAATCTCATCTCAGCTGCTTGTGGAAAATGCTATACGCCTTTCCCTCCTGGTTAGTTCCTTTGTAAAAAGTTAACAAGATAAGAATAGTAAAATCATATCTACGTACTTAAACCTAAATTTACTGAGATAAAGTCGCTAAATTTTGCAGGCTGTATCTTTATGAGTGGTACTGGCTTGATTTGTTTTGATCATCCACTTCATAAGGTAAGAGCAATTGCACGAGAGGACGATGAAGGAAATACTGGGGCTGTCATTTTTCAAGTGGACTTGTTTACAAGACTTCCCAGCATTCCCCGGACGGGTAGTGCAGCAAATTGGGCAGGTGCCACTGCTGTTGAAGGAGAATAAAACCACCCCAGGGCTTCCTTTTCTCATGTAATTTCAACATCTTCAGAGCATGGTTTAAATTTCTTTCTTTATTTTTTTTTTCTGTGGGTTGTTCTTCTATTTTTGCTTTGGAATCTTTAATCAATTTGTTTGGAATGAATTAAGTTTGAGTTGAGCCTATCAATTTATGAATATTTCGCAGTGGTGGTCAAGAATGTCTTTTCTAAGCAAAATATATAATTTAATAAGTAATAGTTGAATGAAATTAGAATTAAGCTAAAGCGATAGAAAAATGATAACAAAAGGCACGACAGTCTCTCACATACGTGAGACCTGTTGACCCCAAAAAGTGGGCCAACAGATGCCGGTCCCACCCGCGCTTGCGTG